TAAGCGTAATCGCTAATCGTTAAGCGTTAAGCGTAATCGCTAATAATCGCTAAATTCTACTCTAATAATAATAACTAGATAAGACTAAATAATAATAATAAAATTAATAATAAAATACAATATCAGAATAATAAACTAATAAAATAATAAACTGTTCTATAACAATGTAAAAAAGGTTAGGATTTTTTATGCTTGGTACTAGAAATTCGTTATCAATGGTTGTTCTTTGTATCCTATTTTTATTAACTTTCTTCCAACCTGAGCAAAAAAATCCTTTTGCAATTTGAAGATATTCAGGATGTTTATTCGCAAAATCAAGTAAATGCTATTTGTAAAATATTTCTATATTCATAATAATAAACTAAAATACTTATACGGAGTTAAAAGCTTGAGTTCTTGCAAAGATTATATCTTTTAGGATTTTAAAACTTCTTTCTACATAATTGTTTGTATTATTTCTACGTGTAGACAACCCTGAATGATAAGAGTGAGCTCAAAAAGATCGTTGCTTCTATAAAAGCTCAAAATGCTTTTGTAATTGAGGATAAGTAGAGTAAAATTCTTGTTTGAGCTCATAGTAAAATAAGTCTATTTCTGAATTTGATAAGCATAAATAATTTTTCTCATTTTTGCTATAATTGATACATGATCCTCTTTACAAATATAGTGTTTGGAGTCATAAAGCTACCTCCAAAATGCTTGTAGAATGTGAAATGTATATAAAAAACAGATTCTATTTGGGTAGCATAATTCAAGTGTATTCCTTTTAGCACTAGAATTATCTGTAAAGAAAAGTATTGGTCTGGTTTGTGGTTCGCGATCATAGAAGGCATTAGGAGGAAGTATTGTTTTTAGTATACTAAACTGTTAATTAAATTATATAAATCAGTATATCATATATAAAATTAATATAAAGATAAAAAAAAAAAAGTTTACTGCTTTTTCTAATATGATTTTGAGCTTATCCAAAGTAATAAACAACCCAAGTGAAAGAGCCCCAACTGCACAGCTTGTATAAAAAAAAGTTATTGAAGTATTTAATAGTTTGAATAAAGCTAAGGCATCAACATAACAAAGCTCTCTAACTTGTAGAACTTTTTCATGTATTCGATACATAAGGCTAGTTACTATACAAAGAATATATACTTTTCTAGCATATGCATCATATTCTTGCAAAATAGCCTTTTCTTGAGCTGAGTCATTATAATTTTTAACAAGTTCTGCCAACCATTCAAATATTGATATGCTATTTTTACTACCAAGAGTAGCTTTTCTATATTTTTGAAAAAGCTTAGCAGTATAGTCATAATCCAGATTTATAGACCGATTTGCAAAAAGCTTAACTAATTCTTTTTTATTCATCACTTTGAAATAAAGTTTATCTTGATAAACATATAATACTAAAGCAGTGTATGTCTATTTTTAAAAAGATCTAATAATTCTTTAGAAACTTCTTCTTTAACATATTGAAAGCTTAAAGATTCTGCCAAATTAATAACATGATTGTGTGTATATTTCAAATTTACTTCAAAAAGATAAGTAAGTGGAAGTTGTCTATATTCTAATCATAGGTTAATAGTTGCAGTGCAGTGAATATCACATGCTTGTGATGATTGTGGATATTTTACATCAATATTTTCTTGTTTTTTTTTTAACTTCATGGCTGTAGATACAATGTTATTTTTCTCAAAATAAAACCTGACTTCCTTTAACTTCATAGCTTTTTGTCTGTAGCATTGTCGTTTTAGAATAAAATTGAAATTCCATAATCTATCAGGATGCTTCATTCTTGCTGTTAACATTCACAAATATATCCAACTCAAAATATGGAACCTTAAAATTCTCATGTATTTGAAATAGTGATATACTATTAAATTTCTGAATCAAATACGTATAATTCTGAGAAAGAACTGCTTTTAGAACTTCAGGTAAAGACTCCCAAATGAAAACCTATAACAATAATATTATGTTTTGTAAAATTAATACTACAATCTAAATTTTCTAATTATGAAAAATTAATATAACGAATGCAGGTACTGACTTGCAAAATATTTTCTGTAGTGTTATTACTTTCCATATCGATATTGTGTAACTGTTTTAAGAACTTTAATTTACCGGATATTAGAGTTCCGCATTTGATTTGATTTGATTTGATTCAAATATTTGATTTCAAATCAAATTCAAATATAGATTTTCAAATCAAATCAA